GGGCGCAGTCAGATTTTTGTAACCAGGACGCTGTTGCTTCACCCCTGAGCTGGCACCGGCTGGGCTTCGTGGAGTCAGAAAGAAACCCTCCACCTGCCCTGCTTGTTGGGGAAGGACTGGGTCCTGGCCTCGGCTTATTAAAAACTCAGTTCCGTTTTATTACAGCTCACGGTAGAGAAAGTTAAAATGTAAGCCCCCATTTGTATTCAGAATTAACTAAACTCTGGATTAATCCGCAGCCATAAACTTGAGGTAGGCACGCAGCCGCGGATAAGACAGCCTCGCATCCAAGCCCCCGGGCACAGCGCTCCCGGATGTGAAGGCATTTACCAAGTCCTTTACATGGAGCAGTCAAAGAGGTTAATTGAAAAATTTCTTAATGTCATTATGAAAGAACTAGATTAACCCAAGTTAATTCGCTTTATTGTTCAAAATAAAGAGGAATAAGCACTGAACTCACTTGCAAATTTGGGGCGTGAATTAGGGGCGAGATGTTGTCTTTAAGGACTCTGGCAGTTTAATTAAGATATGGAAAATTACTTATTGTTCTTCACCACCAAAGTGCGAACGCGTGCCCGGGCCTTTCATATCTGCGCCACGTGTGTTTGTTTAATACCCGCAAGACCCCGCCACTGCCCCTCGGGCGGCACGGGCTGGGCTCATCCACTAGCCCTTCGCCAGCCGTCACCCCGGAGGAGCGCACGGTGAGGGCAGGGCGGCGTGTCCTCGGGCGCAGGGCGGGCTGAGGAGAGCACAGCCCATGTTGTCACCCCAGATGGGCGTCCTGCCTGTGCCTGCCTCCCGGGTGGGCCAGGACGGGCTGAGCTCGGGGGTCATCCGGTTCCTCTACCTGCAGAGGTGACTGACTTCACCGCTGTCTCTCGGAAGGGTGGGCAGCACTCGGAGTTCTTCCAGGGGAGTCACCCTCTTCGCTTTTCTTTCAGGAAGTGTTACTCAAGAGGGCGGCCGACCTTGTGGAAGCCTTGTATGGGATGCCCCACAACAACCAGGTAGGCGGGGCGCTGGCACGCCACCCCCTTCCAGGGGGGTCCATGTCCGGGACCGGCCAGCTGGCCGGGGTCCAGCGTGGGCTTTCTGGCTACAAGTGCTGACCGGGAGCTGGATACGAGAAAGCCTTCCTCTGCGTGTCTGTGCCCTCAAGTAGAAAATGACAAGTCGCTGGCAGGAAGCAGAAGGACTTGTCACAGGAATGAGGGCCACTTTGAAATCCATCAGACGATTCAGAGGCAGCGGACTGTTTGGTGCTGCCGGGGACCCACACCCCTTTTCACCCTGCCAGGGGTTCTCTGGGGACCCAAGGGCCGTCCCTGGATGGGCCCTGTTTCTCTGCCTGAGTCCAGGGCCTTCCTCGCTGCCCTGACCCCCCGTGCACACTTCGGGGACAGAATAGAGCATGTGCTGTGCCCTCCCATAAGCCCCTGTAAATGATTTCCTAAGAGACAACTTTTCCTATTGAAACATACGTCTTGTTAGAGGCTGGCTCGAGGGGCTGTGGCCAGCCAGCATGTCTGGATGCGGTGTGGCGGAGGGGCCGGGTGGGTACTGGGGGGCGGCCGGCCGAGCCTGGCCCCGGTGACGGGCTCCCCTCCTGCTCAGGAGATCATCCTGAAGCGAGCGGCTGACATCGCCGAGGCGTTGTACAGTGTCCCTCGCAATCACAACCAGATCCCCACGCTGGGCAACACCCCCGCACACACCGGCATGATGGGCGTGAACTCCTTCAGCAGCCAGCTCGCCGTGAACGTGTCAGAGACGTCGCAAGCCAATGACCAAGGTAGGCGGCCACGCAGGGCGGACCCCGCCCCCGCCCCCCGCCACAGGGTGGCGAGACTTAGCCGCAGCCGACCCGTCCTGAGGCCAGCTACACAGCACAGTGCTCGGTCCCCAGAAGCTGTGCCCAGCAGCTGCCGTGCAGAGAGCACGCTGAGGGCGCAGAGCCTGTGTAGCAGCTAATTGGCTGCTTATCGTATCTGCTAGAAGTTTCCTTGAATTTATTCGTAAGCGACCTGGTTTTCCTTGAAAGTCTGGGGTAAGCCATAGGGTAGCTGTGATGTAGTGAGCCAATGGGACCCTCCTTGGATATGTTGCATGGGTGGGATTTGGTTTCTAAGTTTGGAATGAATAAACGTACAGGAAGCCCCACTGCCCCACGCCCTGCACCTTATCCCATAACTCAGCGTCCTGGGCGGCCAGGGCTCAAGGCACCGACTGCGTGAGCCAGTTCCTCGAGTCCACCTTAAGTCCCCTCTTAAAGCTCTGTGCAGGCGGTTGCATCAGGAAGCACCTCAGCTGTACTGCTGCTGGGCCCGCATTCACCCGTACCCCACGGCAGGAACGAGGCCACGGCTCCCACTCCCTCCCCACACTCACAGATGTAGACAGCAGCCATAAAAATGAAGACCCCCCCAAAGAGCCCTCCATGGGGCGTCACGGCCACAAACAAGCTCTCCTTGTCAGCCATGGCATTTGAAGGTCTGCAGAGGCCGAAAGTTCACCTAGTGGGGGGACAGACCAGGAAGCCAAGCTGTTGATAATTGCTTGTAAAGAGAAACGTGAAAGCAACTGACGGTTAGATCGAAGCACGCTTCGGCGGCTGTCGAAGCCAGCAGACAGGACAGGCCTAGCGATGACACGTGCCAGGTCTGGCGTGACAAGGTTATCCGAGCTGCGTAGGGGCGTTAGGGCTGGAGTAAAGCGTAAGGTCAATTAAAAATGTTTACTATATGACAGAGATTTGCGGGGAAACCCCCCCCAAGTGTCTCTCCCTGATAATAACGTTATTTTTGGCCGGGGGGGGGGGATTTTAACAGTCGGCTACAGTCGCAATACAAGCAGCGTGTCCCCGCGAGGCTACGTCCCCAGCAGTACTCCCCAGCAGTCCAATTACAACACAGTCAGCACTAGCATGAATGGATATGGAAGTGGCGCCATGGCCAATCTAGGGGTCCCTGGCTCGCCTGGATTTCTTAATGGCTCCTCCGCTAACTCTCCCTACGGCAGTAAGTGTCTGTTTTTGTCACACGTCATCACACAGATTCATTTTCACTGCAAAGTCAAATGTGTGCATTGTTGGATGTTCTGTGATATGAGCTACTGGCTAAAAGGAAGGGTGGCCCCGGAGGCTGGGCGTCCACATGACGACTGTAAATTGACCTAAAACGGGCCCCACGCGATCACATTGGAAACCCAAACACAATCGGAACCAAACGGGGCCGCCCAATTGGAAACGAAAGTCCAACACCAGAGTTTGCCTGTTACCCAGAGAGTGGCCAAGCCAGAGGCACCTCACGCGCGCCCCGCTGGCCCCGGTGTCCCGGGCAAGGCCGCGAGGGCTCTCTGTCGTGTTGCCGCGCCCGGCGTCGCGTGTCCTGACCTGTTTGCTTTGTTGCAGTAGTGCCGTCCAGCCCCACCATGGCAGCCTCTTCGGTCACCCTCCCTTCAAACTGTAGCAGTACGCACGGCATTTTCTCATTCTCACCTGCCAATGTCATCTCTGCAGTGAAACAAAAGAGCGCCTTCGCGCCCGTGGTCCGGCCCCAAGCCTCCCCTCCTCCTTCCTGCACCAGCGCCAACGGGAACGGACTCCAAGGTGAGCAGCGGTGCGCGGGCCGGGCCCCGGGAGTGCTCCAGGAGCCCCGGCGGGACTGTCCCCAGCGGCCTCCGGAGGGCAGGCCAGGCTGGGCCACACAGCGCGGGGTGGGGGGCGGGAGCTGCAGCCGTTCCTTGGGGCACATTCTCGGACCCTTGCATGCTCTCCTGCGGTCTGCCGCGCTGCGATACCCGCACCCACCCGGCATTCGTAGGAATGACACCCATTCGTTTAGCCCCACAAGTGCCAGATTCTTTCTCTTGGTTGATGAAAACCATTCCTCACCCTTCCAACAAGGCCGAAATGTCCTCGCGAAGCTCAGGGGATGGCGCCCCACGGGGAAGGAACCGGGACTGTGTTCAGTCCCTCTCGGCACACAGGCCTTCACGGCCAGGGCACAAGCCCTTTCACTGCCCAGGACGGGATGGCGGGGCACTGTGCCACCTGCAGAGCCCGTCTCAAAATCTGCCTGTTCTCCTTGTCCTGAGGCAGAGCCTTGGCTGTCAGCCTGGTCTCTGAGACCACAGGTGCCCCCAGGCTGTGCTGTCCTTGGCAAGGGGCTGCACCCAGACCCAGGGCCACGCACGCACCTATGCTGGATGGCAGGGCTTTTCTGAGTGGTCTCTTTCAAAGATTCACAAGGGAGAGGGGGCAGCCCCCAGGGCAGCGGGAGGCACTGCCGCCCACCGAAGAGGCCAGGCGGGGCGGCCCCCAGCGCCTGCCCAGTGCCGGCTCCCCCTGGGCAGTGGCCATCCTGTGTGGCAGGTGGGGCCCCGCGAGCGCCCCCAGCTCGTGCGTGGATCTTTGGGATTTTCAGAGGCCCACAGGCACTGAGATTAAGTGGCCGCCATCTGGCCTCTTTCAGACACCACCCTTGGTATATGCTCCTCCCGGTGAAAATCAAATCCAGTTACTCCTTTAAAAAAACTGAATCCATTCCTCCAGTATTTACTGAGCGCCTACTATGTGCCAGGCTCCCTGCTGGGTGCTGAGGACGCTACCGTGGAGAAGACAAACTGGCCCTTTTGTGAAGTCGGTGGCATATTTCACTTTGATGAACTAATGCTCAAAAAAGGAACTGGAAAGGTATCAGTGATTTGAAATAATTGTCTTCACAACATCTCTTAGTGTGTGAGAGGGACACCCAGGCCCCCAGAGTGCCGCCACCTGGCCCGGGAGGGAGCCCGCAGTGGTCACCAGACTGCTTAGAAGGCAGGTGGCCAGGGGCCGCGGCCCCGTGCACACGGTGTCGGGCCCATGGAAAGACGGTGCCATGTAAGCAATGTGTACACACACACACACACACACAGGTCTTCCAAGCCATAAAGTTGTAACGGTGAGTCGGAGATAAATTAATATTGTTGAAATTAATGAGCTGAGAAATTGAAGCTCGCATCACTACATGAACAAATGTATTAATATGTTACATACATAAATTAATGAGAACAATCATTCTGACAAAAATTAAACAACACTAAAGTTAAAAGATTTTAAATCACATTCGTGCCAGGAGTCCAGTGGAAAGCGCCCGCTACGCGTGGCATTGGAGCGCAGTTTTCTCTTTCATTCTGAGAGAACCGATGGTCGCGGAGGCAGAGCTGTGACTTGCGTCTCCTCAGGGCCCTTGGCCTTGAGCGGGCAGGGCAGGTGGGCTGAGTGGCTCTGATGCTGGAGGACCCGCGACTCACCATTACGATCCAGAGCGGTCAGCTGGTCAGAGGCAGGGCAGAGCAGGGGGACTCGGAGGCGTGTCCAGTTCTCACCTAGGGAGAAAGAGCAGGTTGGTTCACGTCTGTGGACAGAGGTGGCCTCTGGGGAGCCTGGGCTTCTGTCTGCTCTAAACAAGCCACGGAGATGTGAGGGAAGCACAGACGTCCCACCCAGAAAGACCAGACGCCCTTCCCGTGCCACAGGGAGCCTCTGAGGAGCCCCGCAGGGGGGTGTCCCCACCTGCACCCCCATCCCCTGAAGTAGGTCACCCCATGCCTTAACCAAGCCCACGGCTGGTTAACGGTGAGCCGGGCAGTCCCAGCGGCACCGCTAAATAAAGCACCAAGAGAAGGCTGGGCCCCTGCCCAGACGCGGCCCCCAGTAACCAGGCTCCTCTCTCTCTTGCAGCTATGTCTGGGCTGGTAGTCCCGCCAATGTGAGGACCTTTTGTTTACCTTCCGCAGCACCCAGCTTCCAAGGACGGACTTCAGGGGACACGTTTAGTATATTCAGACATGCTGATGGAGACAGTATCTTCAAATACGTCAGCAGCAGTCGGAATGCTACAAAAGACTTTAAAGATTTTATTTAAACTATTAAGAATCGACATGCAAACAGCCTACTTCTTCATGAACAATTCCATTTTATTGACTGAACTTTTCTCATATTTTCACATTTCTCAGTCCTGAAGAATAAGGAAAACAAAGCAACGCCTATTTTGTATAAAGTTTCTGACCCCGTCTTGGCTATGTCTAGTACTTGCTATGTGTTGGGAGAACCTTTGTGAATGCACCGTTTTGATGATCATGAAACACTGATGAAAAATGCCTCCAGACATTTTTCTGTACTCATACTTAGATTCACAATGGTTGTGTATCTCTATAATGTGAAATATTTTTTTGTGGTGGAAAAAGGGGGCCAAGGAGGTTGAGCCATCAAACTGGAAGAAAGGATGACTATATGATTAGGAGAATTGGGGGTGGCAGGGAGGGGGGGGAGGGTTGATCATTGCTTACCTTCATCTTAATGAAACTTTGTAACTTATTGTAGTTAGAAATTGTAACTTTGATATTGAATTCTCTTGCCTTCAACAAGCACACTGACAGAGAAAAAAAAAATGCTACTGTCTGTTGGTTAAACTATTCTCCCACTGCTAGAGCTTCCTGTTAAGCAAGTGTGATCTGCAACATTTTTCAACTTTTGCTAGCACTGTATACTATTGCATTCTTAGGCTACTGTGAGGTCCATGTTTCTTGTACCAGAAATTGTCCTTTTGACTTCTAGCTCCTCCCCCCCTGATGTGTTTTGTATGTGGTTATAAAATTGTAGACTTTTGTGATTTTGCCAAAGTTGTAGCTAAATATTTATACACTTGTCTTGAATTTTTTTCAGATCCACTTAAATATTTAGAAAAAAAATGGGTTTTATTCTTTATGTGTCTTATAAGGAATAAAACGGTCTCCATTCAACACTTTTCCATGAACACTTGCAGTTGCTAAGGGACTTTATTTTGTAACATATCAATTATAAATATTGTATTTATCTTTGAAATTTTGTACATTGCTTTTTCCCGCCATTTTCTTTTCCTTTTTCTTGTCCGTATTGGTTTTGGATCGTGGCCTGGTGTTAAGATGCTGGGAAGAGCATTAAGCCAAGAACCGTCTCTTTGATCTGTTTTGTTAAAATGAACCAGTGTCGTTGCATTTCATTTGTACTTAAAAAATTTGCTATTGTTTAGACTTTCCATCCTTTTTTTTTATTTTGAGGAAAAGTCAAATTCATTGTTTATTTTTATATTATTTTTAAGTTATCTGAACAAATACTTTTGAAAAAAAAAGTTTGTTGTATAGTCAAAACAAAAATGGTGCCACCGGCTGTGACAAATCCAAGTAGATTCTGTGCATGTGGAACAGCCACAAAGAGGTGACACCGTTTGGGGCTGTGTCCTTATTTTATTTTATTTTTTTGTAGAATGTAAAAAGTCATTTTAGCTGCCACCCATGACTTTGCCACATAGCTGAACTGTGTTTACTGGAAAAATTCAGAGGCCTAAAGTTTAAAATAAAATTTACTTCTGATGTTTTAATTAAAATGTTTGCCACATTAACTTCTCTGATGCCTTAAAAGTAGACTTCTTTGAAGAACCTTTGTGCTATTCTATCACAGGCTTACACCACAATTGTTAATCAATATTTCATTTGGAGATTTACGGTGTAAAACACACACACACACACACACACACACGCACACACACACAGAAACAAAAGCACAAACCTGGTGACTCCTGTGTCACTCCTTTCCGCGTCTGATTCTGCTGCGTCCTCCCAAGCTCACCTCAGGTTCAGAGAGGTTTTGGGGGATCAAAATGATCGCTGGCTTTTAATTTTTTTTTTTTTGACAGTACTTTTTGTGTGTGGTCAGACCTAACAGCACTGTCTGTACTTTTTAAACTGGAATGACCTTTGGATCCTGTGCCTATCAGTGCCAAACCTGCAGTGAGACCAAAAGGGTCAGCTTTTCCCCCACGTGCGCTGCTTTGCAGACGCAGCGCAGCAAACGTTTTGCAAACTGCAGCAGAAATCAAACTTAACACAAAAAGGAGGGACTTTTTAAAAAACTTTGACAAAAAGCAAAACAATGCACAACTTAGAAAAATATTCATTCAAGGGACTCAATAAACAGAATGTCCCCCGCGGTCAGCAGGTCACACCCTGGCCCTGTGACAGCTGACGAGGCTTAGCTACGTGGAAAAGCCTGAGAAGTGACTTTGGAACTAAATTGCCTCCGTTTTATTTTGTATCAGTCGGGGTTCGATCTAACAGCGAGCTCCCGTGTGCCCGTTAAGAGCGTTTGCAAGTCCTCTCATTACCTGCACTTGGATTGTGTTTGAGATTCACTAGTCAACGCCCTCATCGCTTCATTGTCTCAAAGCTGAGCGCGTCACTAACTGCTAGATTTTACTGTTAAAGACCCTACAATAAGATGGTTTATCTGTACATTTTTTCAGATATTTAACTGTATAAAAATGTTCATTTTACACAATATTTAATTAAAGTATTTCTTGTCTGTGAATTTCACTTTGGGTAATTTTATGTTTTGATTATTACAGCGACGCAGCAAACACCGTGTGCACGTCCCACTGGGGATTTCACTTGCATACCTCGGGTCTCAGAGCTGTGTCTTGGCCACGATAAAAACGAGGCATAGGAAAAGCTTCCACAAGGTGAAGGATCCTGGAACACTCCCCAGACCTGCAGAGAGGCTCTTGCAGTTATCTGGAGGGCCCTGGTCCCCACAAGGGCCTGTGTGTGACTGTGTCAGACACGGGCCCAGCAGCCCTGTGGCACCTAAACAACCGTGAGGCTCCCTGGGGGCTTGGTCACCCCATTCCCCCAGCCCTCTGCTCCTGAACTGAGGGTTCCGCAGGTAGAGAGCAAGCACCCCCGAGGTCCCCACTGCTGGGCCCCGCTGGAGAAAACAGCAGCTTTTGGGCGGCACATCAGCAGAGGCTCTGGGGGGTGGCGGGCACCAGGTCCCCGTGCCTGCTGAGATCTGACAGGAGTGACACCCTGCCACCTCCAATTCCAGGTCTACTGCAGTGGCATAACAGACCCCACGCACTGCAGTGGCCACTGGGCTGCACGGAGGTGTAGCCAGAGGCACCGACTACAACGAGATCTGCCATCGGCACTGAGGTCCTAATTTACACCATGACATGCAGCTCCGTTCCGTTTCATTCTGTCTTTCTCATTTCCTCCTCAATGAAAGGCTGCTTTTACATGTTTTGGCTTGCAGCTCCATAACACATACACATAAGTGTGATCCAAATTAACTCACAAATGTCCTCTTAATTACTTGTTCTGCTGAGCAAAACAGGAAACAATTATTCAAAACATAAAGAAACTTGTGAATACCTTTCTCTCCTGTCAATGACAATAGGTTCCTTTGACTGCGTTCTTGTTTCAGCCTTAAAGAGGCAGCAGAGCCAGAGGCTCATGGGGTACAGAGCCGCAGCCTGCCCACGCCCACTCCCCGCCCTCCAGGCTCCTGCCCAAGGTGCTGGGGGATGGGGCCGGGGGACGCCATTCACCGCCTTTCCTCCTCTGAGCCAGTGCCAGGAATGCCAGCTTAGGGGTGCTGGCTGGGGTGCTTCCTTGGAGACCTGCAACCTGGGGAGAGAGAAATTATTTCATGTTTGGGTTTCGAACCAGAAGCCAGAAGTGCGTTCCTCAGGATGTACGCCAATTATTGCCAGGCCGCCTTTTAAGGCCTTTCAGGCTTTTAAAGATTATTCAAAGCACTCGAAATGGGCTTCAATCTAATGCCTCATTTCATTGCATTAAACAGCCTAGTTAATAAAGAATCGATATATTCAAAGGGCAAGGTTATCTTTTGTCTATAAGGGGTGGTGTCATTCTGAACCTTTTATAGTTCAAATGCTGAAAAAGACCTCATGAAATCCATACTCATCAAGTGGGTCAACGAGAGCGATAAAGAAAGGGAGGGAAGACAGGCCGCCTCCTTTAAAACAACTCCAGCCTTATCTCTTCGCGTGGAGTGCCCAAAGAAGTCCTCAGAAAATGTCAATTTCTCCTCGAGACAAGAGGCTACGATGCTCAGGTTTTCCAGAGAATACGTACCATTAAGGGGCGGCAGAGGCGGCTTTGGCGGCCATTTGTAGCCGCGCCTGTCCCCCCGCTGCGTGCTCCCCCCGGCAGATAATACGAGTTGTTGATAACTGAAGTGTCAATACGCCAAAGAGCGATTTTTGAATGTGAGTCCTTGTGCTTTGAGCTCCCAGGCCGATCCCAGGCCCTGATAACGGCGCAGCTGCCAACGGACACCCCAGTTGGCCCTCACAATTAATGCGATGAATAAATCACACAAAAGAGTCGGGCTGCTTTATACTTGGTGAGACAATCCCCTGTTTTACCCTTCAAGGATTCCTTTTATGTTGGAATAAGGTTGCTTTTAATGAAATTTAAACTCATCAGAGGAAATAAAAAACCTCCAATCAGATTACAAATTGATTTTTTGGTCATTTGTCATTGCCCAGCATGGAGCCGCAGGTTTCACAGGGAGCCAGTGTGCACGCAGCTCCCAGCCCCTGGCCTGGGGACAAGCCGGAGCGGCTCCTGACCCCCCGTGCAGACTCAGACAGGGCTCTGACTCTGCCCCCGCTCACTTCTGGAAAAGTAAACCCACAACAAGAGCGAGCGGGAGCCATTCAGCTTTGAGTCCAGCCATGGCCTCACCTGGTGACACCCAGTGTCCTTGGCAGAGCTGGCAGTGACTTCTAGGTCTGCAGTTGTGATGCACTGACAGCCAATAGAGACACATTCTCTTGGGCTTGTGGGGAGTTCTGGTTCGGACCCAGGCCCTGAACCTGCTCTGTGACCCCCACACGGAGCCCCAGGCCCCACACACGCAGCTTACGACCTGGGGCGGCGAGAAGACACACCCAGCTCCTACTCAGCCATTCTGTCTCAGCCCAGCCCGCGCTCCTGGCCAAAGCTCGCCGCGCCTGGCAGGCTGGTTGAGGGGGCCCTTCTCCAGGTTCCCGCCAAACTGTGGGAGCCAGCTCAGGCCACCAGATGCCCAGGGGTTCTCCTGAGGTTCCTGGATGGACTTGGAGCTGCTTGAGCATGAGACCTGGCTGGCCTCCGTCACCTTCCACCCCCACACTGGGGCGCCCAGTCCAGGCTGAAGTGTCCCACCGAGCATCCGGGACGTAGGCTGGGGCTGGAAGAGCGTTTTGACCTCTTGGAAAGATTGGGGCCGAGGACAAAAGCAGAGTGGGCTTGAACTTCTGATTCAAGAGCGCTTGGAGACCACCTTCTGAACTGTAATCTTGGAAGCGAGTCCAACACCCTGGACATTTTCATACAGCAAATAAGCATCACCCCTCACCCAGACCGGCCGCACCGGGCAGTGTACAGGGCACTTGTCCCATTGTCTCAGGTCATCCCTGGGAGCTTGGCTGGAGCGGGGTCCCCTCCCTCAGGGGACAGAAGTGCAGTTTGTGGAAGTGAGACGACCAGCCCAAGGCTGGAAGGACAGAGCTGGACGCCACATGAAGTCTCTGATCGCCAAACCCTGTGCTCTTTCCACGGACGAAGGCTGCAGACACCTTCAGGAATAAAGAAAACAAGAGAGACCGTCCGGATGGAGCAAGAACTGCACCTCCCTGAGAGGTCCCGGCCAAGCTCACAGAGGACACATGTCACCCCCAGGGCCCCAGGGGCCTGACTCAGGGCCTGGACAGGCTGTGCGATGGAAACTGGCTTGTCCAGCTGACGTCAGCTCGGGCTCAGGAGCCTTTCTTCAGGACACAACCAATGTCACACGTCCACAATTTGGCAGCCGAAGTCAGAGGCTCACTCGCTAGGGCCTTGCAACACACCAGCAGGGTTCCAAGGACCCCGTCCCAGCGCTCTCCCCGCAGTGTCCTCGGGTCACCAAGCGTTCCACCTGGGGCCGAGGGGACCAGGACGCCTGTGTACACTAGTGTCCCTCTGGTGCAGCGGCATGTGTGGTGTGGGCGGGGGGCCAGAGCCCAAGTGCAGGGGCCATTCACGGTGTAGGGACAGGAGGGGTGCAGGCGGGGGCCCCTGAGGGCCCCCCAGTGCCAGAGGGGCTGGGTGGCAAGGGTTGAGCCCGTCAGCCAACTCCCAACCAGGGCTCAGTAAAAGCTTCCGTCACTGCCGGCAAGGTGACGATGGGGACAGGGCGATGAGGAAAATAAGAGCCATGATTGGGGTGGTGGAGTTAGAGGCCGTGAACAAAACAGAAGCGGACGTCCAGAAGGGAACCTGCGGTCCCACCCGCGGCCCTGTCAGACCACTCCTGCCACTGCCGATGGGGGCTGAGGACCGCTCTCTCACCTGACAACGGCTCATTAGCTAAGACCAAACCGGAAGCTCGTGTTTCCGCCTGCAAGAGACCAAGCTTGTCACTGCCCCGCTGTGCCACCACGACGGAGCCACCAGAGCCCACGCTGGTGTGAGGCTGGAGCCTCCAATAGAGAGAGAATCCGGCAACAATTACAACAAAGGGCTTATATTCCTAATATATAATTTTTGCAAATCAATAAGACTAGATGGACGCCCTGAAGAAAAAAAATGGGCAAATTCACAGTCAACTCACAAGGGAATAATAGAAGTGATCGATACGCTTAGGAAAATATATTCAAGCTTACTTAAAAATGCATATCAGATTAAAATAATGAGATGACATTTTTTTCACTTGTTAAATTAGGAAAGATTTTTCTTAAAAGCTAATACTCACCCCTGTTGATGGCGAAATGAGCATCCTTACAGTTGTCGATAGAAGAGTAAGTGGTACAACCTTCTGGAAATCAATTTGATGTGATATCGAGAGACAACAATGGTCATATCCTCTGACCCACTAATTCCACTTGTAGGAATCAATCTCAGGGAGATAGAGATTAGACAGGACTGTAAGCACAAGATGTTTGCTGCCGTAACATTTACTTTAACAACGGGAAAGAACCCACGTGTCTAAAAATAGGAACCATTAATTGAATTATGGCATAGCCATGTAATAGAATATATCATATATTTATATATTCTATTAAGCTATTAATATGTTTTTGAAGTATATTTAATGAAATGGTAAATACTAATGACATAAAATTAAGTGAAGCAAGCATATAATACTGCATATTTATAACATCATCCCAGTTGGTAAACTTCTATGTAGACAGAAGGCAAGAAAGAAAGAAAGAGAGAGAGAGAGAGAGAGAGAGAGAGAGAGAGAGAGAGAGAGAGAGAGG